CTACCGTGGTTCAGGCTATGTACGCGCGTTCGTCTCTCGAAAAAGACAAATATACCCTTATGCCGACGACAATGATATCGGTTGCACTGATTGGCTAGAGCGAGCAATGTCGATATAATTGTATGGCGATGCGTTCAAAGCTGGAATGCGGGCCGCGCGACCGCAGTCCTAACACATGCTGAAATAAATAGACTTTATCTATCCTATATCAGATTTGTTATTACAAAAGTACCGTGTTTCAGTTTGACGAACAATTCCTATAAAACGTCGTGCACTTGCATAAGTATTTGTTCGTATAATAATAGTGTTGCAGCGGTTAGTGATAGTTTGTTGGTGATAATATTTTATGTGTCTCCATTGAAATAGAGACCGAAAGATTAGTGAAGGTATCGCGATTTAAGATAAACTACTACCGATCGGTGTGCTGTTCGATTTTACGTTCGATATCTCGTGTGTATTCGGCAAACGTTATTGAATCGGTATCGAGATTAATGTCTGTCGATACCGATGTCAAGCGTAAGTTTTACGACGGCGGGTGCGCGATTAAAATTTTAGCCAGCCGTAGGCGAACTTTCGTTTTTACATTGTCGTAAAATGGCGCGTATGGACGTCGTTTTCGGTGGAATAATTCAGCGAGCAGTCCGCCGCCGGGTTACTTTTACGATCGGCCGTTCATAAAAGGGGACAAATTACAGCGCCGCGAGGCGTCGCGTCGCGTCGCGTCGCGCCACGCCACGTCGTGTCGTGTCCTGCCGCATCCCGTCGCGACTATTCCCGTTTGCAGAATTATAAAAGTCTCGGTCGCGTCGTTTTTGAAAAAGAGGGAAAAAGGTGGAAAACCATTATCGTGAAAATGGAGTTTAATTAAAGTATCCTGGCCCAGATGGTGGCCCGCTCGAGCGTGCGCTTATTAAAAGAAAACGAGCGAGCTTCGTTGAACGCGAAAAAGAGAGCTCTCCTCGAGCGAACGTCCCACGAATTAGCGGCGTCTCGTAATTCGATTTGTACCGTGCGCTTTTATTAACCGGCTTCTTTGCCCGGCGAGCGTTAGCTGTGACGTGCACAAGCGAATTTTCTTTTGGGTGGCAAATTTCGTTACCGTCAAATAACGCATACGATTATTACGTACTTTTTCACTCTTCCCATTATCCCGGGGACTTTGTATCGATAACTTGTATCTCGATGCATGTACGACGAATTTCTATCTTTGCATACAACTAACGGTTTCATTGATGTTTCACAACCGTCTCAGGCTTCTCGAGAAGAAGAACGCTCGTGTCGCAAAGTTACGAGCATCCGCGGAAACGTATTCCTCGTCCGAGCTCTCGACTTACCGCGTTAGTCAGAACTTCCGACAATTATACTGGAATTATATCTCACGGAGGATTTCGAGGTAGGCTGGGGGTTGCAATCGGAATTAGCAGTTCCGGCATTTGTGGCGTTTCCAAACTACCCCGGGGATTCCGAGACTAATAATCATCCTTGCTCCTGCTCATGTTTGGAACACACTGGTGTCCGCGACCGGTAGGCTCATTCCGATTCGAAAAAGCTCTTCAAAGCGACGGAAGCTCGCCATAAAGCGCCGTGACCACTGTGTGCGGAAATAAACGTTATATTGTATACTGTATGCTTTATTGTATATGTACGCAAAATATTGCTGAACCCGTGTAATCGGTTTATTAAACATGTTTCTCAATTATAAAATGTAATCCACTCTAATAGTTGAACCGACGAGATTCCAAAACTCCAAATTGTTGCGATTCAACCCAAATGATTTCAATAATTCGCAGTCTTCTCTGAATTATCTAGAATTCTCTCATAAAATTTCCTCGTACATTGCATTATAAATTGCGTAATCAGCTTTTCCTTCAAGACTGTGAAAAGCGGCAAACAGAAGAAAAAGTAGCGTTTCCTAACTAGCATTATTATTTGTAATTATATCCGAGTTATTACTTCCAATTGAGTGGAAATCCCATTGAAATTTGCCCGGAGTTCATTAAGGAAGAAACTTGTATACACTGATGCTTGTTTCCGCATCTCCGAATTAATTTGCAAAAAATTCCTCGAGTTTCAATCGCTCGGAGCCTGAGATTTATCAGTAGCTCCCGACGTCGTTAATAAAGAAAAGTCAATTGGTCGAAGAGCCGAATGGATGAAAGAAAATGCGAGTAATCTGGCGAGCAGCAGCCTTTACGGCGAAGCTCTGCTCCACCGTATGACGCGTGCGCGGTATCCGATCAGAAATACGCGGAAAGGAAAAGGCGAAAGGAATACCGCTCTGCACGCGAGGTATTTCCTCGGATGCGCGAGGGCTGACTATAGTGCGAAAGGAGAGGGGGAGTATAAAAAGGAAGCGGACCTCTCCCCCCCCCCGTGCCTTGGCAGTTTTTACGAAAACCTGTTCTCTGCGGTTCTGGCTGCAACCTGTGCCTCGTGCACCTGCACGAATAAAAGAGGAGACCCCTCTTCAGCTTCTCAGCGGGCCACCTCAAGCTTCCCCCGTGAGATAGCATTGTGTGTCTAACTACCGTTACACCGGGTGTCCCGCGAATTATCAACCGGTGATGAAACGCGCGCACGAAAGAGAAAGGAAAATTATGTGGAAATAATGTTTTTGAAAATTCCACATAGTCGGACGTTTGTAATTCGTTAGAGCTCCCGCCGGCAGAAGGTACGATTAATCTATAAACTTCGACGAAGCCGTTTGCATCAGCCATACCCATAAATCACCGCGCGAATTCGCGTGTACGAGAACTCGGACTATTAGTAGAAATTAGCGGACATTACTAAATGGAAAGGTAGCGCGTAGATTTTCGTCGAGTAAATTGTCTCTCGATTTTACTCGAGAGAAATCGTTTTGAAGAAATCTGCTCATAAATACGTAGCTGAAAATATCACGAATGTTTTCTGTCTCTTAAAAATGATGACTGACAATCGACTTGATAACACATCACCGTATAACGTTATCGTCAATTATATTTTCTGATATATACTCAAACAGTAATAGAGATTGACGTCTAAGTGTTTTGATAGCGGATAATTTCTGAGTTGTACTCGACCCAACTCCGGCGCTCACAACTCCGGACTCTAATTAATTTTTCAAAACCGTAAAAATACGTCGAGCACGTTGACACGCTCGAGTAGAAGTCTCGAATCGCCATCGAATTTACAGTTACTTTACGGAAATCGAGATTTACCGCTATGATCGTTGCGCATCTTTTTTGCGAAGAGCCGGTCGCGTCGTTGCAGCTTCCTGGCTATTCTCCCTTTCTTTCCTTCCTCCTTTCTAAAGAACGACGCGATGACGAAGAATCGCGAGACGAGGGGGAGAGAGAGAGAGAGAGAGAGAGAGAGAGAGAGAGAGAGAGAGAGAGAGAGAGAGAGAGAGAGAGAGAGAGAGAAAGAGAGAGAAAGAGAGAGAGAGAGTAGTTCTCTCCTCGTCTTTGTTCCCAGCTATATCCACCTTGCTATCCGAGCCTAATGGTAGTTAGGGTCCGTCATTAAAGCGATAGGTTGGCCGTGACTCCCTATAGCTGCTCGGCCGCGCTTCCGTTAGGTTCGTTTTCGCGTGAACTGGATTAGAACGAGCCTCGGGCCTGGCATCACAGGATAACGATCCGTGGGAATTGGACTAGCGGGTTAAGGAGAATCGCCGGTGGCGGCGATAACGACGTCGACTACGACGGAGTCGATGACGATGATGACGGCGACAGTGACGGTGGGCTGGGACGATCGGATTTCTGGCCGACGTTCCCCGTCGGTCGTTAAACCCGCTTGTTGTCGCGTGAAATATACGGGCGTCGCGGGTTATGCCGACTTGCGCGTCACCTGACTCCGTCAGGTGGATTCATCTCTCGTGCACCGGATCTGGTCGTCTCGTTTGATGGCGGTGTCACAATTTCGAGCAGACGACCGCTCGTCAGATCAACTCGCCGTGAGAACCTTTCCCATCGCGATGCTTCGCGAAGCACAACCACGTTGAATGTTATTAAAATGTTACTGAAATTTTCGAATTTTGCGAATATGTTACGATAATAGATAACTCGAAGCACAGAATTTTAATTCAATGACTGACCCTGCAGATTCCGTCAAACTGAAAGTACTGAAAGTAGAGTGGAGAAAAATCCCAAGATACGTCTATTACATCTTAATACCGTAAATCATTACTTAAACCGCGCATTGTAAACGAGAGGCTTAAAAAAGGATTTACTTAAGAATTAGTTAATACACTGAAAAAAAAATTATATTAAAATTAAACAAATATTTGTTCGAATACGACTGTGAATACGTTTATTTAAATGAAGCAATTATTTTCTAAAATTCAAGAAAAAAGTTTACATTCAGAGAATCTCTGTATTTAATTTTAGAAATTAGTCGCTTGATTTGAATAAATGTACTCACAGTCGTATTTGAACAGATATTTGTTTAATTTTAATACAATTTTTTCTCAGTATATAACTGAAAAAGTTACATTAAATGTCTTCGTGACACTCTAATCGTGCTATTGTGAGAGATAATCCATACATATGCGTTTCTAACGATATGACACTGAAGGCACGAAGATAGGAAGCCGTACATATAAGAAGCGTGTAATTTATAAAGCGAATGTCCGCGACAAGATGTAGGCGTCGTGTTTCAATTTAACGGCGCGTTAAATAAATGACACGAGCAGGCTCGTAATCGTCTCATTTAACTTTAAATTCTCTTCCTCTCCTCATCTCTCTCTCTCTCTCTCTCTCTCTCTCTCTCTCTTTTCTTGTCTTTTTCTATTTCTCTTTTCTGCACATTGTCGTTCACGCTCACGGGTTTATACATTCGATTATCAGCGTCCTTTGTATCTGAATGTCCGACAATGTCGCAGTTTGAAACATCTTTACGTGGTGGCACTCGTTAAACCTTTAACAGAGCTCTGTCGTTATTAAGAGCAATTATTGGGAAAGTGTCTCGCCGAATGCAGATACTGGACGATTAATCAACCTTGAATCTCGCTGATTACTCACACGTGCAGGACACTCCCGCGACTCGCGTATCCGTCAGCGCTGCTCGTTGCAATCCCGCATTAATAACTCTCCGCCTCCGCATCGTGTGTGACGTAGCAACGCGGCGCAATTAACGTTTCATTTTTCTCCGTGCTCCGAGGAGCATAAAATCGATCCGCAACAATTCTGCGCCGCGTAGCTCCCGACGATCGCGGTTAAACGTTACGCACGCGTCGCATGCACCGAATACGCAAAGAGACACAGAGAAACACTGTCGCTCGTATTCCGTTTAAGTTAACGCGCGTCCGCGACGATCCCTCTGCTGCAAAATACAAGTGTCTCTTTTTAATTGTTCTCTCTCTTTTTTATTATCTCTCTTTATTTGTTCTTCTTGAAAAACAGATGTTCGAACCAGAGTGTATCGAACAGTGTTTTGTCGGAGGATCCGTGACGTCTGATAAATATTTATCTGCCGCCGTGGGCTTTATTAGTGGCAAATATTTGGCCGTATTTACGTCGCTGGGAGCGACAAATAGTATCAGCAGAGATGGAGAGAGAGAGAGAGAGAGAGAGAGAGAGAGAGAGAGAGAGAGAGAGAGAGAGAGAGAGAGAATGGAGGGAGAATAAAAAGGGGAACGACGACGACGGCCCTCTCGTATATACGGGGCCTCTCTATGCCGCCCATAAACGGACTCGGTCGAGCGAATAATTTATTGCTCGCAACGAGCGTGGCGAGATTTGCATAAAACAGGGGTTTTCGCGCGCGAATCGATCGCGGAATCGGGCATGACGTTCGGCGTCCGGCACGTCTCGCGCACCTTGTATGCACTTACGCACCTGTCCGTCCTAACAAATGCACGTGTTTTCCGAGCACGATAAACCGGCCCATCGATTCGCGATGAGCATCGAAGCGCGAGCGCCTGAATCGCGAGAGGCCAGACCACCCACGTGATATCTCGCACGAGTCTCTCTTGAAATCGCCAGTGATTATTACGTTTCGGATTATCACCTTTCAATTCATAATCGCGCTGGCGCTCCTTAACGCGCCCGCACATAACATGACGAGTATCGAATGTATCATTCGGTTATATATTAAATATTTCGCTGCGCTGCTGCCGGTAGGATTAGTGGCCCGCGCGTTCTCCTCGTAACGTATTCATAGATTTCCATTTCTATAACTGTATTCAATAAACCGCGAATGCATCCATCTCCGAGTGAATATTTTCCCTCGCTGTGGCTAATTGCGCCCGCTGTATCTGCTTTAATATTGTATCCTTAAACAACGCTGATTACGCGTGTACGCGTCGCGTCCATGCTCCCGATCGATGCGATTAATAAATTAGCACGTCGCGCCGCTCGAACGAATATCGCAATTATCGAAAGCGCAGCGTGTTGCATTACGGTCTCGTGAAAGCGGGTTGCATCGCGTGCGCGAATGATTAATCGTGTTCGTACACCAACGATCGTACGATTCCGGCGATTCGTTCTGATTATCTTCGATCGGCCGGCTCGACTTGCCGAAAATTGCGAGCGCGCGCCCGAAATGCCGATGGCAGCGATCGATCGGCAATCGAGCGGTATCGCCAGCGCGGCGATATCGCTCCGATACAAAACGCATTTACCGTATTTTTAGTTAAGACCGACGTGTCCGGCGCGCCACGTTATTGGAGGATGCGTTTTTCTGAAATATAACCCCGCAGTATTCGAGTTGTACTTTACGTTGCAGTAGCTGTTTTATTGTTCGACTATCGTATAAATTTTCGTCCGCGTTCCGACAATATTTTTCTTTTACGACTTACGTAAATCGCATCTTTTTTTCTTTTTTTAACCAACGTATTTCCTGCTTCGCTGCACATTTCTGGGTCAGTTCGAACGTTCCAATTCTTTCGCGACGTCTGTTGCGCAGTCTTTTTTGGGAGAAATTATATTTATTATCGTTGCGATTAAATTTTCAACGTTCTGTCCGGTCTGTATGGTCAAGAATACATTAACAAATTTTGCTGTTCGCAATTCATGCCACATCGGTTTAATCGCTTTAAAAAATAAAGTTCATAGAAGATTAATTGACTGTGTATAAACGATCATGTGTAAATACATAATATTTAATATCAATTATGTCGATTAAGAATGTCGATATAAGAATTGAATAGCTTCTGAAAAACTGAGAAACATGCCTGATTTAAATTCAGAACGCGAAATATCTCCTTCTTGTTGATATTCAGCTAAACGAAACTAACGCTAGCGCTAATTCTCGCAAATACTGACGATTCGCTACGTAACAATTTATTATTTTCGCAGTCGGTGTTTCTAGCGGATTAATGCGCGTCAACAAGCCCAGGGATACTCCGCTGCTGAAAATTAAAAGGAATTACTGAACAATAGCGTCATCCGGTCTATCGCGAGCACCGCGCGTGGCACATTAATTTCGCCCTACGTTATTTTTCACTGCTTATCGCGGTAATTGCATATCCCGCCGCGATGAGAGAGATTTTAATTCTATCTGAAGTACAATGTCACGCGTTCGTATGTACATCACGATGCAATTTTCGCGCGATTCTTCGCATCCTCTCTTAGCGACACCGTTGATAACGTTTCGTCACTAACCCATCATAAATTAACGACTCTTCATAGAATTTTCACACAGTCAGAAAACAAAACCACCGACGATCGCGCGTCCCTCCCTTTCAAACAATAATAGATTTCGAATAATTGAGAGAGTGATAGGTTTGCGAGACGTTTGTTTATCCCATATAACCCCCATGAATGTCTTTGTGCCAAATTATCGCGTAATCCGCGGTGGTCATTTAATACGGCGGCACGGCACTCGCGTGGACGAGAAATCAATGTCGTTATGTTACCGTTACCGTTGTCTCGGCTCCGCGTTTTGGACCGTCGGCGATAGTGAGGGAAGAACGACTATCTATTTGATCTCGAGGGCAAACATTTGCCTTGGGTAAGAGTGAACGTTTGTGATGACGAGCGCGAGTAGGCGGGGGTGAGTTTCCGCGTTGAAACCCTCTCGCTGCACCCGGCGGATGACGAGGTCGGCTTATTGTAATTAATAACCGCGGAGTGCGGCGACCGAGTAAGCCGGCAGAGTCATTTCGTTTGAATGGACCGTAATTCAGCGTCGCTGGGTCGTTTCTTCTGAATAGAGCTTAATTCTGGACTCGCGCGTCATCCCGTCGCGTCTTCCGCAACGAGATTGGAGAACGAGGGCCACACATAGGACGTTAAGGGTTGATTTTGATGGATTACCGCTGTCGTCCTCGTGGAATTTCAAGCAATCCCGCGGGAACGCGATTGTCGTGGATGTGTCGCCGACGAACTTGACAGAGAAACGCACTCAAGCAAGCGTTCATGTGCGCCGTTCTCCTTTCCCTCCAGCCGCTTCTTTCCCCTCGGCTTTCCCCTCGGCTTGGCGCATCGGGCCCTCGCGAGGCCAAGCCAATTATCCTTTTTTGTAACGCGAAAGTCGCTCTCGCTTTCAAGCGAGCCATATCATCATCGCGGTGATCGGGGGGACAGTTTCCTATGCTCTCGCGCTTAACCGCGCGTCAACACTTGCCTATATTATAAATCGAGTTACACGCTGGCGCTTGTAGCTCGCGTTAAATCGACTTTATGATCCTATCGCACGGGAGGAAGACGGCCGTAGTTCGCCGTTTTTCCTTCATGAAACCTGCCGTGCACGCGTGGATGAAATATCAGCGTTACCTTGCGCGGCTCCCCCTCGATCTCGCGCATTTATCCTTGCGCTGTGAAGTTGACTCGTTTCCTGCCGCGGTCGCGCTTAAGCTACGGTAAATCGCGCGGCCGCTTTGAACTTTTCAACAACTCCTGTCTTCTTCGCAGTTTCGCAGGCGCGCGCGCGCGCGCGCGAGCGCGAGCGAGACAGCTTAGCTCGATCCAGTGAGTTTTCGAAAAGTAGAGCGACACGAGAGCGCGAACGTCGTTGCATGTCGCCGGTGCACAGATTAGCGCAGCACATGCTTCTGTTTACCATATCCATGTATATTTATGCCTTCGCGAGCCGGCGAGTAGAGGAGCACATGTCTTCCACGGCTGGGTCGCGCAAAACCGGAAAGTTTGTGAAAGCCTAACGAGAGTCATTTGTACGAAGGCGAAGTTTTAGGAGCGCGTGAAAGGAATAGCGAAGGTTTTCCCTTTCGCGGAGGGACGCGCTGGGGTGTAAGTTGCGCAATCGTAGGTCACACGGCCAGCATCGAAATGCGCACTGAATTCCCACCTCGCAGAAAAAGGCTCGATAAGGGTCCCTCATTGGTACTTGGACGCACGGGAAATAAAGTAGACGCGCCAGCAGCGACAAAAGAGGAACGATAGACCGCGATTTATTGCAGGCTTGTTGACTGCAAATTCGTCCAATTTTGACGAGAGAGAAACACGATGAGAGCGAACTCGCGTCATTATTATTATATTATTTATAATAATTATTATTACGCTCGCGAGAAACAATACGCACAATGTTAGAACAAACAAACGGTCGACGCTGAAATGATGATTGGAAGCATAGAAAATTCTAGCGGAATCAAATACTCCGATATCCACGAGAGCGAGACAAATATTTGCACGATCCAAAAGTGGAAATAGTCGAAGCGTAATAAATCCAGGATGGTAAGAAAACGAGTTGTCAGACGTCTGTATACACAGAGACGCATGCACTGTACGCATGCGCACGTATACATCGCCGCCGGCAATAATTCCGCGAGAGCACGCATATGACGCACGTGAAATACGAGGCTGCGCCAATTAAGTTGTTTGCCGGCGCGCCGGTTATACCTTCGCGCAAATAATTCATTAACGAATGCCGTCGTGCCGCGCGGGTGGATGAACTGGCGCCCGGAGTCAGCAGGTGGTTTAAAGTCTGCGCCAGTCGACTTTAAGCTTCTCCACCACGTGAGTCGGCCGCGTAATGCCGGCGCGCGCGCTGGCTGCGAGTTTCATAGCGGAGCTTCTCCGCCCGCGCCGGCGAAATTCGTCTCTCGACGAGTCTGCGCTCGCGCCCGGAATACTTAGGTCGGATTTTCGAGTACCGATACCCAGAGCATCCACCGAAGGGGATGGGCAAATAATTGAATTTAGATTGAAGGGTTGTTTCACGATGTGCCGTCTCCTCTCCTCTCCTCTCCTCTCCTCTCCTCGCTCCTCTCACGCGCTCGTCCAGACTCGTCTCGCTTCGTCGATTAATTTGCGGGGCTTCTCTCGCGTGAGCTTTCAGTCCTCTCTTCGCAAAGGGGTTCTTACCGTGCCTTGTAGGTCTTCGATGCGCGGAAAAACACACTATCGGATAATTTCGCGCTGTGGCGGTGCCTTCTTCCTCTCGG